GGTCTGCAGTTGTTGCTAGTAACGATGAGGAAGGTGGGCCCCTTCCCTTCAATGATCTCTCCCCTCAATTATGACTGTGGGGTACTGACCTGAAGCAGGTCTGGTGGTTTGGGAATCATATTTCCAAGGCTCCTGGGCTGTCACCATTGCAGTCTGTGTGGAGACGGTGGACAGGGTAGTTGTGGTTTGTTCTACCTGGCACAATACTTCCTTCTTACTCTCCCTTAGAGTGTCCTACTCTGCTACACTGGCACCAGCATGGTGAGCCCTCTGGAGCAAGGGACCACCAGGCTGCCTGAGGAAGAGCTAACCACAGCAGGTCAGAGCTTCTGTGCTAATCAGCAGTGTGTTGCACCTTTGACTTGTTGCTACACTTCTAGCCTTAGTGTTCCAACCTGGAAATTTTTTGAGAGCAGCCTGTTGTTAAAACAAACTGTGTTAATACTCTGTGTGTGTGTGTGTGTGTGTGTGTGTGTGTTATTGATGGTTTTTTTTTTTTTTTTTTTTTTTGGTGAGGCAATCAGGGTTAAGTGACTTGCCTAGGGTCATACAGCTAGTAAGTGTCAAGTATCTGAGGCTGGATTTGAACTCAGGTGCTCCAAACTCCAAGGCCAGAGCTCCATCCATTGTGTCAACTAACTGCTCTTATTATTTTTTTCTGAATATATCCTCCCACTTCAATGAGCCTTCACTCGTAGTAAAGATTTTTTAAAAAGCCATTTTAACAAAACTAAACACCTTAATCACATTTGACAGGCTGTGCAGTAGTCCACATTTAGATTCCTTCCATGTTGTCAGGGACAGGAAGGAAATGGGTTTTTACATTTCTTTCATTGGGCTGTGTTTAGTCATTATGATTCCAGTTATAGAATCAGTTTATTTTCTTTTTCTTTTTGTTTACATTATCATAGTTATTATATAGGTTTTTTTTCCATTTATGCTTACTTGGCATCAATTCATGCATCTTCCTATATTCCTCTGAATTCTTCATCTTTAATATTTCTTATGGTATAATGACAAACATTCTGTTACATTCATGTATCACATCTTAGTCATTCTCCAGTCAGTAGCATATACTTTGTCTCCAGTTCTTTGCTACCACAAAAGAGTGCTGCTGTGAATATTTTGGCTTCTATGGGACTTTTATTTTTGTCTTTGACTTTGGGGTGTATGCCTAGCAGTGGGATCTCTAGGTGAAAAGATTTGTCACTTTTTTTTCATACTCCCAAATTGTTTTTTAGAATGGTTGGACCAATTTGTAGCTTTACCAACAGTATACCAATATTCCTATGTTGTTGCAGCCCCTCCAACTGTGACTTTTTGCATTTTTCAGCATTTTTACCAATTTGTTGGATGTGAAGTGAAAGCACAGCTGTTTTAATTTTAATAATAAAAAAATTGTTATTGTTTTGGAGCTGTCTTTCATGTGGTTGTTAATAGTTAGCAGTTTGTGAGAATGATTCATATCCTTTCACTGCTTATCTATTGGGAGATGGTTCTTGGTATTATATATTTTTGTTAATTCACTATATATCTTAACTATCAGGCTCTTACCAGAAATATTTGATGCAAAGATTTTTTCCAGTTATTAATTTCCTTCTTATGCTAACTATTGAGTTTATTTTTGCAAATGTAATAGAAATTACCTATTTTATCTGTACCCCTCATTTGATCAAGAATTCTTGTAGTATCACTAGTTGTAAAAGGTGTAAGATCTCACCCTCCTTTAATTTTTTTTTATGGTGTGACCCTTTATATTCTGATTGCATAGCCATCTTCAGCTTATTGTGGTACATGGTATAAAAGGTTAGTTTGAATATAATTTCAGTGAAATGGTGTTCTAGTTTCCTAGTAGTTCTTGTCAAATAGGGAGTTCTTCCTCAAGTTAACTTTATTTCAACATAATTGACAAATGTGGAGAGGGAAAAAAAGAGTTGGGGGGAAGAGAACGTATAGGAATATGATTGCCTTAAAGTAGAGTAAGGAAAAATACTTGAAGAAACAAAATCCTATATAGATAATAGGGAACAAAAAAATTCTCAGTCAGAGAAAAAGTGATGTTAGAGACAAATAGAGGGGGGAAAACCTAACTCATAACTTTATAAATGTGATTGGATTAAACAATCCAGTAACATGAAAGAGAGTGATAGATTGAATAAGAAAACAAAATCCTCCAATTTGTTACTTAGAAAAATCTATCTCAAAAACAAAGACATACATGGATAACTATAACAAAATTTATCATGTATCAGCTGAATCCAAAAAAGCAGAAATTGCAGCCTTGCTTTAGACGAAGTAAAAACAGAATCTCACAGATATAAACAAGGCAATTCCATTATTCTGATAGGAACTGTAGACACGAAACCAATATCATTGTTAAACTTAAATGCTCCAAATGTCAAAGCATCTAAATTCATAAAGGAAAAATCAACTGCATCACAAATCATAGTAACATAAAAATGGAATCACAGGAGAATTTTATTAAATATTTAAAGAACATTTAACACCAATTGTTATAAAAGAAAATGTGAAAGCACTCTACACTATCCCTTTTATGAGATACATGTTTTCTAATACCAAAACCAGGGCAAGATGAAGAAAAGAACTATAGAACAATATCCAATGACTATTCATTCAAAAATTTTAAATGAAATCTTATCCAACTATAAGAAATCATTCATTATGACAAAGTTGGACTTATGACAGGGATCCAAAGATGATTTGGTGTTAGAAAAACAACCAACATAATAATTAAAAACAAAAACATCCTAAACCATATGATTATTTCAATAGATAAAACAGAAAAGACTTTCACAAAGCTCAGCACTCTTAAATGCTATTTTTTTTAGAAGCCTTAAAAGTATAGGCATAGAAGGATTAAAAAAAATTACAAAAAGGATCACTGTAAACCCCAAACAAGCATCAGATCCAATAGGGATATATTACAAACTTTCCTAATTATATATAGGAGTAAAACAAGGTTCTCCACTTTTCTCACTATTATTTGATATAGTTCTAGAAATTCTAGCAATAACAATAAGATAAGAGAAAGAAACTAAAAGTGTAAAGATAAGTAAAGAGGAAATAAAATTATCCCTGTTTGCTGATGATATGATGGTTTATTTAGACTATCCTAGGGAATCAACAGAGATGCTGATTGATAGGGGCAGCTAGGTGGCGAAGTGGATAGAGCACTGGCTCTGGAGTCAGGAAGACCCGAGTTCAAATTCGACCTCAGAAACATAACACTCACTAGCTGTGTGACCCTGGGCAAGTCACTTAACCCCAGTTGCCTCACCAACCCCCCCCCCAAAAAAAAGATGCTGATTGATAAATGACTACAAAATAACCAAAATATTTGGGGATCGGTCTACCAAGTAGCATACACAATATTTGTATAGATTCAATTATAAAGAGCTCCTTAAAGAGCTAGAGGAATATTCAGAGCTTATGGCTATGCAGTGCTAATATAAAATGACAGTAGTACTAAAGTTAATTTATAGTTTTAATGCTTTAATAATCAGACTTTTAATAAGATAATTTATTGATCTTAATAAAGTTAATTTTGAGCAAAAATGCTCTAAATTATTGAGGGAAATATGACAATGGCAGGAAGAAAATGACAAAGGTAAGAATGAAGAGAGAATGGCATTTCCAAATCACAAACTGTATTATAAAGCAGCAGTAATCAAAGCCATTTGGTATTGGTTGAAAAATAGAGAATCAGGTTAATGGAACAAAATAGACAACGAGTATCAGAAACAATAGAACTTAGTAACCCAATGTTTGATGAACCTCAAAACATAAATGAAAGAATGTAATAAGTTCTTAATGTATACTTGATTGATTTTTAAAATATGCCTTTGCTTTAAAAAAACAAACAAACAACTCCCTTAAATGGATACTCTGGTTCTTCTATCTCCTACTTATATCTTTTTTTTTTTTTTTGCGAGGCAGTGACTTGCCCAGGGTCAAACAACTAGTAAGTTTCAAGTGTCTGGGGCCGGATTTGGACTCAGGCCCTCCTGATTCCAAGGCCAGAGCTCTAACTACTGTGTCCTTATATCTTTATGGTTAATCTAAGGGGTTTCTGTTTGTCTTAAAATATTTTGTAGTATACCTGTACAGGTCATATTCTCTCATGAAGTTTCTGTGTATATATGTGCTTAAGCCAACAACAGCCATGGGTGAATTTCTGAATGTAGTTTCATCAGGCTGAAAACAGAGCTAGTATATTCTTAAGAAATTGAAATGTGGGAAGATTTTTAAAAACCTGTGGGCATAGCCTTAAACTTTAGGAAGAGAAAAATTGACCCCCATTAAGAAATAGAAGGTAGTTATAGGTATTGTGGCACTGCCATGTTTTAAAAAAAAAACATGATTCTTTTAATTTTATATGTAAAACCAATTTTTTCTTTTAAAGAGTGATATATTTACTTTTTCCAGTATGAAAATGTAGAGGTGTATAATGAGTGTTTGATTTGACTTACATCCTAAAATATGTATTATGCAAATCAGTTTATTTCTTATTTTTGAGATTCTTATTGCTTAATTCTTATACCCATTTAAGCAACAAAGAATAAAGCATAATAGAGAGTCGGAATCTAAATTACACTTTTATTTTTTGAGCAGGACTGTATTTCCAGTTTTTTTTTTTAAACTTTTTTGCTTACATGATATTTAGTCTATGCCATAAACACTTGGTGAATTTTGCCACAAGGTGGCAACCTGTCATTCTCAAGCATGCAGAGGTTGTTCAGGTAAATAGGATTGGAAAAAATAAAAATGTAGTCACTAGTTCACAATTGGGTAATTGTTGAAAATGCTAATTACTGATTAAGGGTTAGTTTCTTTTCACTTGTGCAGTGTTAATTGTTTTCCATATCCTCCAGTTTCAAAGCATTTTTGTTTTCCTGTCTTTTCTGTTTTTATAACTATAATAATTGTATTACTTATCATTTGTTGTATGTGTGACTCATTGCTGATAATTGTGGTAACAGGTAAGAAGAAAATACGATGGGACGCTGTTAGGAGATGCTTCACTCAGTCCTGTCCCATCCTAAGGATCCCTAAAAGGTTTTTGAGAGGTGGGTGATAATTAGCAAGAGATCTTTACTTCATGTGGGTTCAAGGGAATCATTCTTGAATTTTATAAATGCAAACTGATTGCTGCTTCTTGTTGGTATATTAAGAACCAAAATAAATGGAGGGGGGGAAGTCTATAATTTGACTTGAGTTTTCAGTTTACGAAGCAGTGTTTCATATTTTCTCATTTTTAGAAAATAATTAAAAGATATTTTTGGAAGGGATAGTTAGAATGATTTAATATGTTTTAGAGGATAAGAGAAACTCATGTTCACTTAACAGCTTTTTCACTTTTTTGAGCTGATCAAAAATGCATTTGAAAGAAGATAAATTATGGTCACAGGAAGGCAGATGGGATAGGTTTTTTGTGTATTATTTATCTTTTTTCCTCCCTTCCTTCCTTCTTTCCTTCCTTTCTAGGAGAAGAACAAATGTAGGTGGACATGCAATTGTCACTAGTATGGTGGGTTTTTTTTTTCCTCCACTGAATCATATTGGAAATCTTAGAGTTAAAATTTTTTCCCCTGAACCTAAAAAAGATTTTATGAAATTGATTGTCATAGGAGTTGTTTCTTTTTGTAATAATAATAAGTGCACCTTATACATATTCTCTCATTTTATCTTCACAGTAACCCTGGGAGGTTGGCCCTGTTTTTATAGATGAGGAAAATGAGGCAAATAGAGGTTTAAGTGGTTTGCCCTGGGCCACATAGCTAGTAAATAGTGTCTAAGGCCAGATTTAATTCAGGTCCAGTGCTCTCTGTTCACTGTGCCTCCTAGATTCTCTGTTTTGGTATGTAAGTAATTGTTACTTTTTTTTTTAACTTTGCTAATTTTACTATAAAGAAATAAAAACTGTAACTCATATAAAAACAACTGTCACTCATATAGAAAATATCTTTGCATCATTTACCAAAATAGTTGTTACGGAGTTTTTTATTTTGGCTTTTAAACATCAAAATCCATCTGACTTTTAACCAGTATCTCTTTATTCTTTTATGCAGAGTTCTCACTAGCTTGGTTATTACATTCCTTAGCTTCCAATATATTTGAAACCTTAAGGTAGAAGGGATTGGGTAATATATTGTATAGTAGAAAGAGCGCTACATTTTGAGTCAGAAGACCTGGTTTGAATTCCAGTTCTGCTACTGACTGGAAGACTGGTCAAAGCATGTCATCTCTTTAGGCGTCTGTTTCCTCTTTAAAAAAATGATGAAGTTGGACTAGGTGATCTGTGTATCAAGTGAAGTCTCTTTGAACTATTAGATCCTATGATTCTATGTGTCTAGAGGCAAGCATAGTTATCATAGTACTTGATGGCCTGATACTGAGTGGAGACCAGAAAAACTTTAAAAAACAGGCCCAAGAACTTAAAAGAAGGAAACCGTAGACAATAGTATGGGACCATACCTCTGAATATTTCAGTAGTCAGTAATGGATCATGGTACAGCATTTTCACTGATGTTCATTATGGTAATCCTGAGTCATTGAGGAAAATACTAGATTCTTCTGAAAGAACCTTAAGGTAATCTCAAATAATTGTGAATATGATACAGTACCATCTGAAAAATCAAACAGCAAATGACCCAAATATGGTGGTATGAAGTAGATGCAGCATATTTCCAGCAGTGATTTGTGTCCAGAAAGTGGCATAAAAGATACCATCTAGGATGTGCATAAGCAGAAAGTAATCCAGAAAAAGTGCCCTTTTATGCATGTAGCCCAGCATGAGAGGAGACTTTTGTCACTCAATCCTATGGACTGCCATTAACCTCTGTAGAAATTCTGTTCTCTACCTGCCTTTCCTATAAGAGAATGAAGTTAGTATTTGTATGTGATTTGAGTTCAGTCCCTTTGCTGACAAAGACACCTGGTCCAAACTCCCCACTACTCCAGGCTCTTTGTGTTCAGAGTTAGAAAATGCCTACTCTCCTTTTCCTTCCACTCAAACAACATGGCTTCACATTTCATGTTACTGTTCTTCAGTAATTTTTCAGTTGTGTCCCACTCTTCATGAGTCCTTTGGAGTTTTCTTGACAAAGATACTGGAGTGGTTTGCCTTTTCCTTTTCCAGCTCATTTTACAGATGAGGAAACTGACGCAAACAGTTAAATGATTTGCCAGGAAGCTAGTAAGGGTCTGAGGCTGGATTTGAACTCAGAGAAGAGAATTTCTTCTAACTGCTAGCCTTCAATCTAACCACTGCCCCATGTATCTGCCCAGTTCATAAATCTTTTCAACTCCTTTGTTGAACTTTACTCTACCTTATCTCCTTATGGGGGCAGTCATGCCTTAAATCTCACCATTATTCCAAACTTTATTAGCTCCGTGACCTTTCTTAACATCCTGTTGTTGCATCATTCCCTTTGCCTTGCTCGTCACCCTTTGTCTTCACTACGACTGCCAATCTTTCTCCCTTCCTGTTTTCTTCTTTGTCTATCACTTCTTCTCTGGCTACTTTTTTCCCTTCATAGATTTAACTTAAAAATTAATAAGCATTTATGAAGCATCTACTAGTACCAGGTACTGAGGATAAAAAGCCAGAAGTGAAACAATAAGATATCTTATTCACAAGTGAGTAAATATAGGATAGATAAAATACACAGTGATTGAAGGGTAGTAACTGAGGAAATTAGGGGATATCCATTGAAAAAGGCTGCACGTGAATGGAATCTTGGGGGGAGTTAGGGCTTCCAAGAGGTGGAGATGAGAGAGGGCATTCCAGGAATGAGGGATAATGTGTTTAAAGGCACCATGGCAGGGGATGGAATGTCATGTACTCTGTGAAAGCAGATCATTTATTGTCTGGAGTGAGTTGGAGAAGGTTAGGGAGTAGTGTATAATCAACCTGGGACAGATAAAGTAGAGCCGGAATGTGAAGGGCATTAAAAATAGGAAGTCCTCTTCCGTTTGTACTTAAAGGCAGCGTAGACTTGCTGGGTTTTTTTTTTTTTAGCAAGAGGGTGACATGATTGTATCTGTGTTTTAGGAAAATCAATTTGCCAGCTATGTGGAGGATGAATTGGAGAAGAGAGAAACTTCCCTGAGTGACCAATGAATGAAGGAAAAAGCATATATTAGGAGGCTATTAAAGTAGGCCAGGTGAGAGATGATGAGGATCTGGATTAGAGTGTTTGTGGTGTGAGTAGAAGGAAAAGGATAGTTTTTGTAGGTGGGATAGACAAGACTGAGTATGGGGGAGTGAGTGTGAGAAATCCAGGGTAATTTCTCAGTATGGAACCTGAGTGACTGGAGGAATGGTGATGCCCTTGACAGAAACCAGCTCGGTTGTGCACTGTCTTCCTCCCTTGATTATTTTTCCTCTTGTTCCAATTCTTCAGATTTTTCCTTCTCCATCCCCTTCATATGCTTCTGTTTCCTCTTTCATGCAATTGTGCTTGCTACATCTACTGCATAGTAATGTCATTTAGCATCAGCCACGCCCTGTACCAAAAGGCAATATTAACTTACCATGCTTATTAACTCTTACCTTGCTTCTCTCAGCAGCTATCCCAAAATTCTTTCCTCTTTAAGCTCCTAATAACAGCACCAGCCCTGCTTTCTCAGCAAGTAGACCTTGCCCCCTATTTTATTGAGAATATCATTCATTCATTTGTGGGTGCCTTCATCTCCTCTGTACACCTTTCTATATCTTCATTTCTCCTCTCTTCCTGTTTTCTAATCACTGAGGGAAGAGAGTGCCCCTTTTTCTTTCAAGGCTAACTCCTTCTGTTTGTACCCTTGATCATATTCACTCCTCTCCTTTAGGAGCTTGTCTCATCTTTTGTCTTTAAAAAAAAAATTTAATTGATAGCTTTTATTTTCTTATCACTGAAATTTCTTCCAGTATTCCTCCCTGCCCAGAGCCATCCCATATAACAAAAAAGCTACTTTTTAAAGAAAGAAGAATAATAGGAAGAGAAAAAAATCAGCAAAACCTTGCTCAATATATCAAAAAAATCTGAAAATACATGTGATAGTCTCCACCTGTGGACTTTCCACCTCTGTAAAGTTGTGTGGGAGAAGGTGTCTTCTTATCTTCTTTGGAGCTTTGCTTGTTACATGTAATTTTGTAACATAATCTCTTTATATCAGTTCACTTAAATCTATACTGTTATATTCATGTACCACAGTTTGTATAGGCATTCCTCAATCAGTGGAACTACTTAACTTTGTTTCCAGTTCTTTTCTATGACAAAAAAATACTGCTATAAATATTTTGGTGTATTTGTCTGTATCCTTTTCATTCTTTTCTTGTTGGCTTTTTCCCTATTGACTCTAAACAGGTCTCCCTCATTCTTAAAAACTTTCATCTTATCCTGCCAACCCTGAAAGCTGTTTCACTATATCTTTTTTCTGTTTCACTGACAGATTGCTCTGAAGAGCTGTACTTTTGACTTTTACTTCCTTATTCTCCATTTATTACTCAACACCTTTCAGTCCGGTTCTCAGCTATTTACCTCTCCTGGAAACTGGCCCCTCAGAAGTAACTGGTGATCCCTTAGCTGCCAGATCTTATGGCCTTTCTTTGCTTTTCATCTTTCTCAAACCTTTTGTAGCTTTTGATATTGTAGATCACTCATTTCTCCAAAATACTTTTTGTTTCTTTGCTGACTTGGTTTTGGTGACTACTCTTGCCGGTTCTCCTATCTCTGACTTCCTCTTTGGTCTGTTTTGCTGAATCATCCATGTCCTGCCCTCTAAGTATGGGTATCTCCCAGGACTTTGACTCTTTTCACTTTATATTCTCTTCCTTGTTGATCTCATCAGCTCCCATGGGGTTCATGTTTATGTAGATCACTCCCAAATCTATCCAGTTAGGCCAAATCTGTCTCCTCATCTCATCCAGTTTCTTGCTTAATGCCTTTAGCTAGCTGTCTTGCTAGTAATTCAGATTCATCATGTCTGAAACAGAACTGATTCTTAAACTTTTCCTCCTCCAAACTTCCCAATATCTATTAAGGGGTATCACTATCCTACCATGAGCTTAAGTTCATAACCT